TCAACACTAGCACTCCCCCTTAGTCCGTTTCCCCCTCTCTTTCTCTATCTCAGTCTTTCTCAGTCTTTTCCTGTGTTTCCTTTTTCTCTTTGCGTCACCAATTCTCTGTCTCCATCTTCTCTGTCTCTACTAGAGCTGCAACAATCAATCAACAACATTGACTACATAATAATAAAAAACTGTCAACGTGGATTATTTACTTTAAAAAAGCGACATATAACGTTAACATTCCGGCAGACTTGAATACACTCTGCACTAGTGATGCACCGGAATGAAAATTCCTGGACAAAACCTAAATTCAGACATACATGGCCAAAAAAATGTTTTTTTTTTTTGTTTTGTTTTGATTTATGCTTTTGAATGAACGTGCCAAATATAACAACATACAGCATAGTAAAGAAAGAAAATATATAAATATATGGTGGTGGTGTGTTAGTGTGTGTTGCGCTGGTCTGAGTGGATCAGACACAGCAGCACTGCTGGACTTTTTAAACACCTCAGTGTCACTGCTGGACTGAGAATAGTTCACCAACCAAAATATCCAGCCAGCAGTGTCCTGTGACCACTGATGAAGGACTAGAGGTTAACCAACACAAACTGTGCAGCAAAATATATCTGATAGCTACATTTTATATTAGTTATGTTTGTATTAATACATGAGATTAATCACATGCCTGGTTGCAGTGCTAGTCTATATTCTAGGGCTATTTTTCTCTTTTTTTACTTCTCTTTTCTCTCCCCTACTTTCTTTTTCTTTGTTGTCCTCGTCCTTCCTTTCTCTATGTCTCTCCATCTCTCTTTAATTCTCTCTCTCTCCCTCTGCCATGAAAGGCTATGTTTACTCCACCACTCGTTTTGAAATGTCGGCAGGTGACATCCCAGCAGACCCACACAGGCAGCACTCCAGTATTTGTGTGCGTTAAGAGCCTGGCTAAAGGTTAAAAATCACTCCAGCTTGTTTATGTAGACCTGGAGGGGGTCTCCATAGCAACGCGTCTCCCATGACAACAGGTACAGCTAATGGCCCCCCCTCCCCTCCTGAAACAGAGGTCAACAGAGAGAGAGCGGCGTTAGTCCTTTTGAAGGGAGACGGGGAGAACAGGACTAAACCACCTGTTTACAGTCGGACCTTCATCTGTCCTGTGGACCGAGTGGACCGAGCCAACATTGGAGGCTCCCCTTTTAAATAGAGGCGGACTGTCCTGTTTGCGTGCACTCTGCTCTTTTTTCCTCCTTTTTCTTATTTTTCCTCCTTTCCCCTCTCTTGTGTTGTCCTCCGCCTCACAGACCCAGAAGTCGTGGCAGTTGCTAAGTGACTGGCCTCTGTTACCGTGGCTCTGGTCGTCAGGGTGATCTGACGGCGTTGCCATAGAGACAGAGACTGAGTAAAGAGAATGGGTTTCTGCTCTACTGAGGAAGTTGCGTGACATGATTTTTCTTTTTTTTTTCACAAATGAACCTGATCACCTCATGCCTTCCATTTTTTTTTCATCTGCACATTTTTCTTCCTTTATTTTTCATTTATGCTGCAAATCTCCTTTTCAATTTCTTTGATTTTAAGTCTTGTAAATGGCTGTAACGGTGCAGTATGTCTCTACCCACAGCAGATTTTTTACTCCATTTTCCAACCTGCTAGCTGGGTCTCCCTCTAGGAGTGTGAAGGGTAGCATGTGCTTCCTCCAAGACATGTGAAGCACCACCACATCCTTTCGAACTGCTGCTAACACAACATCACTGGACAGCTCAACACACTCAGAACACTAACTGTCAATTCTGTTACATATGCTGTCTTGGATTCCCAGCAACGGATGGCTGTGGCATCACCGGGGATCACCAGGGATCAAACATGCTTAGTCATTAATATCAGCCAGCTAATAACTTTTAACAACAGGACCAAAACAATCTAAGGCCATCTGGCTCACAGTTTAGTTCACTAGCTGGCTGTTTTGAGCTATAGATGTTACAGGGCTGGTTATAGTGCTAAATCTGTGAACACCAAGACTGCAGGGACACAAGAAAAATCATTTATAAAAGTGAAAAATTTAGTTCACTGGGGTTCAATACCTTTAATATACCAAAAACAATTTCAAAAGTAGCAAGTAATAAATGTTAAGTTTAATTTGTGAAATTTTCGCTATATCAGAAACTGAAGAAGCAACATTATATTTTAATGCAACGACTGTTCCACATTGTCTTACTGTCTGCTCAAGCCTGTAGCACAACACTTAAATCTATACAGCCAGTTCATCATCAGGTTGTCAAAGTGTTGATAGTCCAGCAATTCCCATCATTGCTACTGTATATAAAACAAATCACAGCTTGTTAAACTGGGATAACTTACTTAAATTTATACATGCGTGTCTTGTACATGAATCATTCTACCAAACTGATTCAAAGTGAGAGTTCACAACACATTTCAGACTTTTAACGAACTTATGCTAAAATATTTTTGCTTTGAGTGACCCTATACCTTAACTGTGTTTATTTCATTAAAACAAATGATTGAAAATTCCATTTTGTTACTATCAAAACAAAAAAATCTTAACACTACTAAAACTTTACCAAATGTTTCATTAGTGACTGTTTCGGTACTGACAATTTTAATTAATTTTAAGCAGAACTCAAAAACTTAAGCCAGTTTGTGACTAGAACAGTGAGGCAGGAGAGTTGCATACATAAAATCATAATATTTTTACTAAAAAACACAGAAGTTTACTTAATTGCAGAAAATATGTTTCACTACTGACAATTCTTAATGTTCACACTAATATTCAGACTAATATTCAGACACGTTTTCTTCAAAACAGGATCTAACTGCTCACTATGTGGCCATGAGGGACAAGGATGCAGTCTCCGCCTACAGACTAAAACTATGTGTTTCAGTAGTGACATGACAATTTTTTTTTGTTTTTTGATTTTTTCCCAATTTTCTCCCCAATTTAGTCGTTTCCAATTCCACCCACTAGTTAGGACTCCCCCAATCACACAATACCACCAGCGCTAGGAAGGCAAAGACTAACACAGGCTTCCTCCGAGTCCTGTGAAGTCCTTCGAACTTCGAACTGCCGCTCACACAACGTCATTGGACAGCTGAACGTGATCTGAGGAAAGTGCCAACCGCCGGTTCTGCTACGTCAGCTAACAGACACCTGCGCTCTTGGATCCCCAGCCACGGATGGCTGTAGCATCACCAGGGACCGAACTCATGGTCTCCTGATGATAAGGCCAACGCTTAGATGGTTGAGCCACTCGGGAGCCCAGATGGGGACAGCATTTTTTTGAACAACGTTTTTTTTTTTGTTGAAAAATTAAATTCGTAAATCTACATCTTCAACTTTAAAAGAAAAAAAAATTAAAAATACAAAAAATGCAGTATTATTTGTACAAGTTAAATTTAGGGGTCCTCCCAACAGAAAGTACTCTATAAATGATGGTTTTGTATATGACGAGTTCTCTTTCTCTCTTTCTCTCCTCCTCAGGTGGCGGATGCAATGCGGCGAATGCAGGAGAGGAACAACATCGGCAAAGTGATCCTTCTCCCCGAACCAAAGAAGGAAGAGCCCAAAGCAGAAGAGGACAAAAAGGAGAGCGCCAGTGAGGACAAGAAAGAGGGAGAACAGAAAAACGACATCCAGAAGGAAGAGCCCCAAGAGGAGGCGAAGGCAGAGGAGCCGAAGACAGGAGAAAGTTAAGCCGCCCGATACTGTGATGTATTCTCATAACGGAAGTCTCTTCTTCAGATGGGAGGGGCTTATAACCGAAAAGCAGGGTTTGACTTTCATAGGGTTGGGTTGGGGTTGCAATGATAAACAAATCAATCACAAAGACCGTAGGGCGGTTCCTTAAGAGAAATTGTTGAGAACTTTTGATTTACGTTAAGTGACCATTCCCAATTCACTATATAGACACCATGAAATGCACTAGACCAACTAACGGAATAAGCACAAGGGGAAATGTTGAGAAACAATGATACTCAGAAGCATAATCTCAAATTTACAACAGTGCTGATACATGTAACTTACACCTCTTGTCGCACAACCCCCACCTTTAACCCTGATTCAAGTCTGAGAAAAGAAAAAAAGAGAAATTTTGTTGTCCTTCATTGCAAAATATGGAGTCTGTGCCAAATAGCAAGTGCTTTTTGAGCTAGCCAGCTAGTTTTAAGGCACATGCTAAGACCAATATTGTTTATCTAAGTAGCAGAGTTAGCTTTTATCAGATCCTCACTGGGTTCAATGTTATATGTTCAAGTTAGCAACCTGGTGGAATTACGTTAGAACATTGTGTGAAATTTAGCTTATTTCACATGCCATTCGGTTTCTTGGAGTGTTTCCTGGAGCATTTGTGCTTCTTATGGATATGCTAGTGGTCCACAGTGCATACAATGATCTGCTTTAGGCTAACTAACTTGCATGGTTTCAGCAATTCCTGCGTACTATCTTCAGTGCCACCTACACTATGCTATGATTCTTAAGACTCACAAATCTAGTAGAGGTAAATTTGTGTAAATCAATTTGTACATTTTTGTTAAATTAGATCTAATGAAACTGAACAAAGTATCCAGTTAGTATTTGAAATGGATGGAACCCAAAACTGGATTTGCCGTGAGAAGCTTACAAACTCCTCCACAGTGTCCCGTAAAGCTTTAGCATTAGCTAGAAAACTGATGTTAACCTAGCTAGTTAATAGTAACCTTAACTAGCTAGGTTAACGTCTGTTTTCTAGTGAATTCAGCGGCTAAAGCTTTAGCATTAGCTAGAAAACAGATGTCAACTTAGCTAGTTAATAGTAACCTTAACCTAACTAGGTTGAGATGTATTTTCTTTAGACTTTGCATTGGCTAGAAAACAGATGTTAACCTAGCTAGTTACGGTAACCTTAACTGATAGTCTGTAGTGCTAAATAAAAGAAACCTGTCATTAGGGCGGCCACAATGGAGACTCTGCACCAAAATCTTTTTGAAGAATTGAGACACGTACAGTGTAACTAACACTGATCTACAGCTAACATTGGAAGAAACCAGCAAAGTCAGTCATTTAGTGCGCTGTGAGGGCCAATCCTCCAGGAGAGCACCCAAGGCTACCGCAGGTCATGTGCAAAAAGCTCAAGCCTCTCGTCTTCTCACTTCCACTATGCACCTGTTGCACACCGTTTCTCAGGTGACATACGTCTGCCTTCGCGGGGCGTTCTTGATAAAACAGGACTGATTTAGCGCCTGTTAGCCCTGCACCTTACACATGGCACAAGCCCCCTTGTTTACTAGAATCCCTGCCCAACAGCCTAAATTTTGAGATTTTTTTTTCAATTAGCAAATACAGAAAGAAGTAAGATAGTAGTACTACTCAGTTACTGATTGAAGTCATTGAAACAGTTTACCTCTAATCGAGTCAATCAAGTGCCAATGTGCCGTATAGCCGCACAAACCCAGGCCTTTGCACCCCTGCCTTAGCTCTGGCCCCGTCTGTATTGCACATTCTTTGGTCAAGACAACCTGTGAAAATGGCCCAAATATAGAGTGAAGAGGCCAAATCACTGTTTAAAAAACCGGAATAGATAGTAATGGTAGGTTTTTGGTGATGTGATTAGCATTTAGCGTGGCGATTCCTTATTGGCTGGGGACAGGAGGAGCGGCGCGACTGAGAGTTTGTATTCGTGAGTGAATGTATTCGTGTCTCCGTGGGCCGTATCAGTCGTGTACACCTGTATCTCAGAGGGTTCAGGGTTTAAGGGACATTGTGAAGTATATTCCTGGAAAATGGTGTGACGGTATGCTGAAGTGTTTTCGTCTCTTTTTTCGTTTCTTCTGTGGTTCGATTATCGTGCTATGCCTGACTACAGCGTGCCAAACTGTCCGCCAACTACTATGCCTTGATGCGAAACTCGTGTGTTATGGAAGTGTTGTACAAGGTTGCCTTCACTTCCTCAGTGGGCTCGAGGGGCTCTGAAAAACCAAGCATCTCCAGACCATGAACTGTAAAACCTGTCGGCACAACGTGTAAATAGCTTCTACAAGCAGTCGCTGCACTATTTTTTAACTCTTCAGATTCGCTCTAACATATCCTGTTAGTCAGAAAGACAGCGGTCCCGGGCTTTTACTGCTTTTACTGCACACATGTGCTTCGATTCATTTTCCAACATGATCTTCCAGCTCCCGAGATTATAGCACCAAATCTGACGCAGAGGTGGGCGATATGGCAAAAATAGAACACACTTGAAGACAGTTTTATGATACACATAGTTGTTTTTTCTGAGGCTTCTTATGTTGAAACAGACAAAAATTAGTTTAGTGCCACTTTTGAACTATCGAGAACTATAAATTCAATGTTTCATACACTGAACTGCACTAAATCCAATTAAACAGGGCTAATTATGTGTTCTTTGTAATGAGACATGCAATTGGTCAGTTCTGCGCAAATAAGACCACCCTTTAATTATTTCGTTCCCAGTCAGAACAGCCAGTAAGTACAAGTTATTCATTTTTCAGCATCAGGAAAAAAGCAGAAGCCTCAACAGCGAAATATAATATCAGATTTTTCAGTATTTCGCATCAATCTTTTCCCTTTATTACAGCTTCCATTCTTTTCCGAGACTTGCTTTCAGTTTTTACAGGGATATTTTTACACACCTCCAAGAAGTTGCTTCTCACGATACAAGTGATCTGAAGAACATTCATTTTCCCCTCTCTCTCAAACATGAAAGCTTTAGTGCTGTTTATCTGATGGGGACAGTTTTGGTCATCCAGGTCTTGTATGGTTGTCAGAAATCCCGTTTTCTCTGTATCTTTCCATCTTTTTTTTATATTATATTTCGCTGCTGTCCTCGTATCTCCACTTTTGTCGTTTTTCAGTTTTTGACACAGTTTGAAAATGTCTTTACATTGTGTGTAAATTTGATGATGAATGGACCAAAGGAAACGAACCAAAATGACTTGGAAAGAAGTCTGGTTCCATTGACTTACATGTAAAAGTAAAGTATGTTTTTTTCCTTCTCCTGTAAAGTTACCATTTTGGAGATACAAGGTTTTGTTCCGAGAGCAGCGATTTTAGTGTTTTGTATCAGTTTATACATATTATATTTAGTTGTTGAGGCTGAGGAAATTATGTTAAATTTACATTTTCTGTTTTTTCCTTGCGCTGAAAAATGAAAACTTGTTTACTGGCTATTTTCACTGGAAACTGAATTAAAGAAAAGGAAGTTCTTTTGCATCTTACTGTATATTCCACAGTACATCATCCATACTGATGTAATTCAAAAATATCGCCATATCACCCACCCCTACTTCTACAGCATATTCCTGACAACTTTCACTGTGGATTTGTAGGTCCATTGGCTGTAGAACTCTTGCTTAAAATGGTGCAAAACAGAACGCAAATTTACTATTTTTTTTTCTTTTCAGAATAATTTAATGTAACCGGTTCCATTCTGCATATTTGTCTCTGAGCTTGTGTCTGTGTTTTTTTTTTCTTTCTTTTGCAAAGCCAGGAAATCTTTATCATACACACACACACACACACACACAGACAATAAAGTGTTCCAGCCAGGAAACTTGAATCCCACACAGCAGAAACACATCACAGCAACAAATAAATGAGCCTTCGGTTAAGTCAAGGTCACCCTTCTGCTATTAGGTCACACTTTCCTGTTTTCCACCCTCTGATCGCTGCACGAGTTGGGAGTAGAAAGCAGAGCATTTGGCTCAGGCCTGAGTCCCTACAGCCCTCGGCTTAATCTGCATTATAGACTAAAAACGATGTAACTCAATCACAGCGTGATAAATGAGGCACTCTCACATTTGAGCCCATTTAAAAAAGCTCAGAGGAAAAAGTAATGCATTGAATTAACTTGACTGAGTCGAGTAAAATGTGTTACATCAACACAGTCATGAAGACAACACTGTGTTGATGTAGTATATTTCATGCATGTGGAAACCACACGTGAATCAAGTCAGTTCAACACATTATTGTTTTCAGTGCACTGATAGAGGAGCTTCCTCTAAACGGTTAACTCAGAGTCGGAGGAAGCAGATGTTTTTTGCAGCTGTGGCAGAAACTTAATGCCGTGGCACCGTTCAGAGGAAACTAAAGGTCCTAATCCCGGCTGACGCTAACCTCACACATTCCTCTTTTCTGCCTCAGTAGACTCACAGTCCGACTTCATCCCCCCTGCCTTCTCTTCCTTCATTTCATACATCAACTTAAACGCCTAAACGAGACATTTTGAGTCAGGACCCCAGATCAGACCGCACCCAAATCGCACACATCCTATCACTTCTGGCCTTTTTAAAAGGCGAATACGTTTCAGTTGTCATGCCTCCTCCTCTTCAGTCCTGGGTTGAGCTCGGGTGAAGACCAGACCCAGACTGTGAAGAGGATTGAGAAAGCTTCCGTCAGAATGTGTTCTGCTTTCTGTCTCGCCAAAGGGCACCCACGTTCAGTCCCGGCTTCAGAGAGCTGCTATTTCAGTGCTAGTGTTTCCTCCCGTCGTCACTGGACAGACCTTTAAAGCGATAACTTGTGGAAAAAATGTCAAACTGAAGCGCCTTAACCTCAAATGTGGTCTATACACCGAGACACATTTGGCGTCTTTTTGTTTAGTTTTGCTTTGTAAGGGAAGCTTATGCCCCGCCAATTAGCATATTGCAAACTGCATGCACAAATCATCAGTTGTCTCAAACTGTGTCAAGTTATTAGACAATCTCTAACAGACTTTCGGACACTGTATGACGTATGGCTATCTACAAAAAATGGACACAAGTCTTTAGTATATCTTGAAGCTCGTATTGTGTCTGTACATTTGACTACATTTGGGGAAAAGAGAAAACCGTTAACTATGACTTTAAGGCCAGATTTAGTCTGAGTAGATGAACTGTAGGTTAAGGTGGAGGTTTAGAAGTAATGTGGTTAAGATTAGGGTGGTTACCCCCCCATTGATGCTTTGACCTTAGGTTGAACTCAGTACACAGTGGGGTCCAGAAGTCTGAGACCACATTGAAAAATCTGTTTGTTTTTTTTTGTTGTTGTTGAACCTGGAAATAAACAACAGAAAGTTTTAGAACTTTGTGAAATTCATAACAGAGAAAAGTAAAATGAAGATGAAATAGTCAAGATTCTGCACTGTTTCTTGGTCACTATTCAAATGTAACCCATTCATGTCCAAAACAATATTTAGTATAAAATGAAAATGCCACAGAATTTGCTCTGATTGATCTAAAGTGGTGAAATTATGTGCAGTTATATATAATTGCACATCCAACAGTACTCACTTGAATTTTTGGATTATATCTACTTTTAATACTTTTATTTACTGTCAGAACTGAGTAATTCCATAAGTCCAAAAGACTGAATGTAATATGACAAATTAGCACTTTTTCTTTTGCCTTATAAGTTTGGCAAATTAAAAAATGTCTTCAGAATTGTGCTCAGGCGAGCTCAGAGAACACATGAACCAACTGAAATTTAAAATTTCAGATATGGACATTAATGGGTTAAGCAAATTTGTAACACTGACTCAAAATTTTCTGATTTTCTTAGATTGAAGGTCTCTTTCATTGAAGTACACATTTAAACGACTCTCCGGTGGATCTGATCTACTCATCAGGCCGTTTGCACCCACTTGTGGAGGCATATCAATTACTAAGAAATTCAGAAAATTCACGTTAAACTTTCAAAGATTCTACTTTTCACTCAAATTATGATAGAATTTGTAATGAGAAAACGTCACATTAAATTAAAAAAGAAAGCAAAGTGATGTATTTTCACTAGTGGTCTCAGACGTTTGGATCCCACTGTATCAGCAAGCGATGTTCTTGAATGAATCATTCTGTCCTGGCCACTCAACGAAAAAAAGAAATAAAACTGGCTGGACTGAGGGTGGGTGGCCATATTTCTTTGGGCCTTGGTACTTCCTGTATTGCTTGACGTTTCTTGAGTCGGTGTTTGCAGAACTTGTTACGATTCCGCCACTTTGTATTCCAAGCCTCTGAATAAATAACTGCTTTCGTGCTTGAGACTTGTTTATATGATGCTGTTGAAAATGAACTTGGAAATGTGATGCTTTAACAGTGCGTGGTGTTGCAGTTTTGCCTTACAAGGTATTGTACATGTTATCTGGACTGAATAAAATGCATACCAAAAACACGGCCGCCAATCTTTCTCCTCAGTTATGTAAATACAGGACATGAGCTAGGCCTCAAAACTGGCCACTGCTCAGCTCTTCTGACATTGTTATGCATTTCAAAGGCTTTAACAGATCAAATTTCATTTGCTCTTTCATGCCATAGTGAATGACGTCTACTTTGAAATCAATGTGAATCATAAATCATTTCCATTCGATGACAGATCATAGCAGGGCGAGGTGGGTCATTCTCCATTCTGAGTAGGAATTCTAGTGGAAACATTTTTAAAAATTCATCCCAAAACTATTTTACAGTCACTGGTGTTATATGAATATGGTGTAACAGTGACGGTGACTCCAGTGACTTTCTGGTTAAAACTGAGGATTTTGTGAATTGGCTGACTCATTGTTGGTCATGTGACCTTGTGCAACTATTTAAAATCAGTAATAAAAATGATATTTATGGCATTACTCTGACAAAATTTTAATTACCCAGCCATTAAAGCACATAACACCGGTGACACACAGAAGTTATGAGCTGCCTGATAAACAAAATTATTAATAAATTAGTGAAATATAGTGAGCGAGAGTGACTCGCCTTCTCATGCCTTCCTCTCTGATGAGCCTCGACCCAAAGCAGTTTAATAGAGCTGAAAATACTGTGTTGAAATGTAATATGAGTCCTGATAACAGCAGTGACCACAATCTGTGACGAATGAATATTTAAAATAAAATACATATTTTTTAAATACAGTTTAATGTTAATGATATAAAAAGTAAACACGAATCAGTTTTATACAAATTCCGAAGTTAAACCTCTTACAAAGATTGTTTTATATTAAAAAGGGTTTCTCAAATGTTGAACGTTGGTTTTGTGACGAGCTGTTTTACAGATGCAGAGCGACTATGAAACAGGATAAAAAAAAGAAAAATCAGAGAAATCATAAGGGAAAAGTATGATTTAGTCTTAGTTCAACTAAAGAAATGTACATACCAACTTTTGGAGCGGTGGCTAATATTTTAAGCATTTTTTAAGCCCTGCAACCTTTGTGACATGGGTTCCCCTCCAAATGGAGAAGGACCCAGGTGAAACATATTATTACATGGTAAAAGTAATAAAGCCCCGCTCACCGGTGCATGATGATGTAATCTAAAATCAGAAGATGTTTCAGAGGCAACAGTCATTACTTTTACATTTAATTTTGTCTTTTAAATTATATTATTTTTAAAATCTCTGCATAATTACAGTCATTTAGAGTGGTTCCATTGTAGAGAAACCTACTGGGTCAGAATTGTTCAAAATTGTGGTGATAGGAACCAGACGTCCGAAGTGTTTGATGCCTCTAAAAGTTCCCTCACAGAAACAACAGTTTTGAGATTTTGGCCTAAAACATATAGGCAAATGCTCCAATACCCAAAAATAACATTTACCACTATAATATTACGTATAAAAACTATCAACAGGTTTCTGTCACCACTGTTGTTAAGACATTTGAGTCAGTATGTTTCTCTACAATGCGCCATTTAACAACAAACCTCTTTGAATGACTTGGTTTATGACTCAAAAGTTAAATTATGCAGAATTTTTTTTTAAAAATGGTGGAATTTCCCAAGGACACAAACTAAAAAGGTAAAATAAAAGTCAATTTTGATGTCAGGCTGACTTTGTGAAATCAGAATCAGAGCCAAGAAAAACTTAGTGCTGGAGCTCCCCCTGCTGTTAGACATACATCATATGTCATTACCATATAATGCAATAGAAAAGAGTGGAATGTAAAACGTTTATGATCAGTAACTACTAATCTGTGTCTTATCATCAACCGACACATTTAAATACTTAACTGGTTCAGTGAAAACAGCAGCCAGGTTACTATTACAAGATTCTTTTATTGCTATACAGAAAATAACAATAAAATGCCCCTTTAACCACACACTATTACAAAAAATATAAATCGACTGGTCAGTGCAAATCAAACTATCAGAAAGTAAACAAAATAATGCATTTAGACCACTTTTACATTGGTGTCCATGATTAGCCCTGTAGTCCAACTACCAATGGTTGATCACCATAACATTCATTATTAAAAGCAATATATCGCTGTTGCCTAAAGAAAACCATGTATCTCCATTTTTGTTGTTTTTCGTTTTTTTGACATAATTTGAAAATGCCTGTTGTCCTTTACATTGTATGTAAATTTTATGATGAATGGACTAAAACAAATGACCCAAAATGACGTTCAATTCTGGTTCCATTGACTTACATTAGAAGTAAGAGAGTTTTTTCCGTCTCCTGTAAAGTTACCATTTTGGAAATACAAGGTTTTCTTCCGACAACAGCGATACATTCATGAACAACTACATTTTTTTTGTATTTCTTTTTACATAGATTTATATACTTTTACAGCCTGCCAATAAAACAACCCCACTGTTTACAATAAGTCACCATGGAGCGTCAAATTCAGACTGTACAGCTTTGCTCACATGACTCCTCTACTCACTGATGAGCTTGTGAAAGAGCTCAATTTGACCCTTTCACTCTTCCAGCCCTGCTGTCCTCAGTGCTTCAGCCAAGCGCCTGATGTAGGTGGAGTCCGGATATCCACTCCTACAGGTAAAGGAAGAGCGATGAACTGATTCAGTTAAGCCAACTAGGTCAACAAAATAAGAGGCTTCCAAAGTCACAATGAGCAGTGTTTCTTATCAGTGTCAGAAAGGCGATTTAAAGTAGACTGTGGACCTCGTTTATGAGCACAGCATTGTGGGTAACAGACTTACAACGTTTTTGGACACACAAGTGATTTTGCATTGTCAAACATTTTTGACAAAGTAGCAGTCAAAAGTTTCACCTACTCATAGAAGACTTTTTCAGTAGCACTCATAGATATACATACCTAGATGTCGTGCTGGGTCCAGCCAGGCACGTAAACAGCACCGCCATTCTGAGGCGGTCAACATCGCTGCCGGACTGCCTTCAGTACCATTACATAGCAGCAGTTTAAGAAAGATACTGTACTATTTCATGAATATTACACATATTAAAGCGGGACAGGATTATATAACAGAGGGAACGCAGTGATCCACGCTCATGTTTGTGTGATGCGTATTGTTTGTGTGATGTTTATGTGTAGATATGGCTGTGTGGTTGGTGAAGCACAGAGAACCTGTTGATGTGATTGTTCTTCCTCTGGTTTTATACGAAGCTTATTTCATTTAATAGTTTATTCAGGGATCTTAACTTTATACAGTAGTTGTTTATTTACAATGATTTAATGCTTTAAATTGTAAATTGTTAATGCTTTGTAGCGCTAAATTATAGCATTCCTTAATCCGTGTAGATATTCATAATAGATTAATAACGTTAGCACCTTCTCACACGAACCTGAAGGTAGCTTCTTATTTGCCAGCTTCTTGTTCAAATTTTCCCATTCCACCTTAAATGGTGCAGCTTCAGGCACCAGAAAGTGGCTGCTGCACCATTTAAGGTGGAACGGGAAAATTCTAACAAGAAGCTGGCGAATAAGATGCCAACTTTAGCTTCGTCCTTTTTACTGTGTTTTGGGGGGGGTATTTTATTTTTATGTGTATTGAGATTAGAAGTGATTCACACACTGATGGATCTGCTGATGTGTCTGATTGTGTTTCTCACGCTAAACTCAGTTTTTAACGTCAGGTGCAGACTAAAATACTTTCCTGCTGGTCCGGACGGCTAATTAGCACGATCAGTTAATAAAGAAATAAAATCTACCGAGAGCAGACCGTGCAGCCTAGATTAATCTGTGTCTGAGGATTATAAACAAAACAGATTTGGTGAAAATCAGTTGAGTAATAAGGAAGTTGTGGCTGATTTAATCCTGAGACTCATCGTCTCTCAATACAAGTGAATTTGTTCACAAGTGGATCTTGACCTCTCCAACATGGTGGACGCGCAGACGTATCGCCTCACATAGAGAACAACGGACCACGCAGCATCTAGGTATGTATGGTATGTATCTATGGTTGCATTTAGCAAAAAATTACACACTAATTTTCAAGTTGTTAATAATAAGCTGGTGTAAACAATAACTGAAATGGCAACAAGTTGGTAATAATAATAGTAAAATAGTGGTAACAAGCTGAAACGCGACATGCAATTTTCTACATTTACTGAAAGTTAAGTTAAAGAAAGATGAACATGCTGTAGAAAGATATATCTGGTGGGGTTGTGAGTTTCTTCTTTGCCAGATCTGTGCTTTATAATAAAGTAACAGTATTCTGTTTACTGGTAACACAAAAGGGGGATGTGATGTTGATTCTGTATAATGTCAAAATATCTACCTCGTCTGTTCCTGGTTAACTGCACTGTCTGTAAGTGGGTGTGATATAAAAGTAATAGAATAACCATGGGTGACTATAATAAAGTAATTCTCATAATATAACTGCAGTCATAATTTCAGGGCAGTTTGCCACGTTATTCTGAAAAACTGACGTTATCACCTGGTGTGAACTGCAGTAACTGAGAAACAAGTAGGTTTGCATTTTACAGCTCTGACTACATCTAGTTTCACTGTAATTACAGCCTGTAACTGTCTGTACATCACATTTAAATACATAACAGGTAAGAAACAATAGTAGAAGTATTAATATCACATGATTTCAACAGGACAACTTCACTATGTTTGGAGTAATAACTCTAATATCATAAAACCCTACAATGGTTCAAAAGAATCGGGGTGATGTTTTGATTAAGCAGATATTATGCTGGACACCTTATACCTATATACGTAAAAATATTTTGTATCAGCTGGAAAATTAACGTTTTATTAATGGGTATTTAAAATTGGGTAACATTATTTTTATTATTATTATTACTATTATTACCACTCAATTACTAATTTATTATTTATCATCAACTAGAAGATTAGCATGATTTCGTAGGTTAGTAAACTTGTTACCATAATTTTATGATTTTATTAACGCTACAATTACTAACCGACTATTTATTAACAACTAGAAAATTAGCACAACGGCTGTGTTCTCACACTGTTCTGGCTGAGAATAAACTGCTTGTGTGGGCAATTAGAACAACAGATAAAAAAAAATAAATTAATACATAAATACACCTCAACCACTAATATTTGTCTTAAAGAAGATTTTCAAGCATTTAAACAAGCTTTTTGATGGATGTTCTTAAGATTATTTAAATAGTATACAGGTTGTTCAACAGGATTAGCAAAAACTTGTAAACAATAACCTGTTTTCATCAAAAGTGCAATTAATATGCTAATGAATGAATAAATTAGTGATTTTAGTTATTTTTTCATGTCTCACAGGAGCATGTAGTCAGCAACCCACAAGTTCACAACTGTTCAGTAATCACTACTTTAGCATGCATATGTACTCACTAAGAAGCACTTCTGCAGGTACTTTGTCAGGTGAACTGAGGTTAGCAGTGTGCTAACAGGGTTCACTGTGATGTCTTAAAATAAAAATAGAAACAATATATATTTCATTTATATCAAGCAACAACACGTGTTCCCTGTTTACATATACCACCAAGCGAGGCCCATTACGAAAAATTACAAAAGGAAAACTACTTATCAACAATAACAATAGGGTTCAGTATATAAAGTGGAATTTCAAGTCTTACAGAGTGCCTGTAAGAATTAATACAGCATGTAAGATTAATTTTTTTACTAGTAAAAATTTAATTTTCACAGGCAGAAATTCAATTTTAGATATCAAGATTTTTTTACTAGTAAAAATTTAATTATTACTAGTAAAACTTAACTAGTAAGAATTTAATTCTTGATATCAAAAACTACATTTTCACTAGTAAAAATTTAATTTTTGATATCAAGAATTACTTTTCTACATGGGAAAATTAATTTTTTACTTGTAAGAATTTTCACTTTTATAAATTGAATTCCTGACATCAAGAAAAAAAGGTTTAAAATCTAAAATGGCTTGCCACAGATAGGAAGAGTTTAATGCCTCTAGAACATTCTTAAACAAAATTAAATAAGAATATGCCAACTGATCCCTGAGGCTTGATTCTATGATTGGTTTGAAACAAGCTTTTTAGCTAAAATGCATTATCTAAAATACATTTATGGAGTGGTACATGCAGGGTTTTGTAAGGAAAAGCAGATTTACCACTATTTTACCATTATCAACCTTGCATCTCCTTTTTTGACATAATTTAAAAATAGCCGCTGCCCTTTACACTGTGTGTAAATTTCATGATGAATGGACCAAAAGAAATGGCCCAGAATTACTTGGAAAAAAAGTCCGGTTCCATTGACTTACATTAAAAGTAAAGTAGGTTTTTTCCTTCTCCTGTAAAGTTACCATTTTGGAGATATGAGGTTTTGTTCTGACAGCAGCGATATACAAACTCAGAAGGCACATCAGGGTTCACTGGTGGTTTTGGATAGCAAATAAAATGGCTATATTTGTGTTGTAGTCATGGCGACCCCTGAATCCACTCACCACCACTGTAAAGAAATCTGAATTTCTTTCAATGAACCATTTCATATCAAACCACTCAGAATGACTTTGTTTACATCTCACCAACTGAGTTATGCAGACAATTTTTGGAAAAAATGAGTAGGATTCCTCTTTAAAGCACAGCTGAACCCAAACCACTGCATAAAGATTTGCACGCCACACAGGTTTCCTACACGTTTAGCGAAGACACTGCCTAGAGTGAGGATTAACCTTCAGGAGGGTACAAATTTTTACATTTGATTTCGATCTCTCTTCAGTTAAATGTGTGCTGGATGAAGTGTTTGAAGATATGCCACATATAGCAAGACCAGAAGATTTCAACTTGTCAGTTCAGGCACTCCTACAACCTCATCTGTTATGGTATTTTAATTAGCCGGAGTTCAGCCTGAGTGCAAAGCGCCTACTCATACTATTCATTACTGTTTACACACTTGTAGGCTTTTGCATTATGGAATGGGGAAGTAGGCGCCACATATCCTGCCCAGAATTCAATTCATCATGCTGGGAACAGGCTACGCTCTGGAATGGGTGAATACACTGCCAGAATGCAACCTACTATGCGTTCACAATTCACAAGTGGAACCGTTTTTCTCATTAACAGAGGTTTGTTCAATCATTTTTAAGTGCAGTCAGTTAACACAGCCCACCGGATATCATAGGAATCGCATTACTTGGAAATTTATGTCTACAATACATAGTAAAAACAGACAGAACTGTGATTAAGAGAAAATGAGACACCATTGAAAGCAAACCTCAATGCACTCTAGGTTCACAGGACTGGACGATACCCTGCAGCAATTTGCAGCGTATAATGGTAATCTATATTCCTTCAGTCTCTTACATCACTGTTGTATGTAAGACTAAGGTATGGCAAATGATATACTCCACACAGCCCATACTGGGGGTTGAACAGCATGAACAGCATGCTCAGTACAACAGAACAGCCACGTTTACATGCAGCCTAATAATCCGTTAATAACCGGACTAATAGCTCAATCGGAATAGAATACGTCCATGTAGACACCTCAATCGGAATAGACTAGTCCGATTGAGGCCATTCGGAATACAATTTCTATCCGATTGAACGAGATGGGTAACCCTGTAAATAATCCGTTAAACAGAATAATAACCGTCTAAACGCCTGTATCTGATTACATTCCCTATCGGAAAGTTTAAGTACGTTCTGATCATGTGTGTCACATCATAGTGAAAGTTTATGACGTTCAACATGGAGGGAGCAGAAACTGGTCTGCAGAGGGGACGAAGTTTATGCTCTGATCTTTAAAAGACGGCGGTGGGACGGATGTCCAGCTTATGTGTCACAGAACACGAGGACTTCCTCTCGGCCTTCTTTAATAAGGACACGCGAAGTACGTTTTCTGAGTCTGACATCATTTTAAAGTCATTAAAAGCACAAGCGCGCCAGCTGAAAACTCATCTCACTCTGACTGGACTCTTCTAAGTGGTACTTCACGCATGCACGTCATTTTGGATCTGATTACTTGTAGTGTGAATGTAAACGGAGGTTTTCCATCAGATGGTTGAGTAGAGTGTGAATATAAACACCTCAGTCTTAATCTATAATCAGAATGTGTTCAGTCGGATTGGCAAAAATCTTTGCATGTAACTTCAGCCAGTGATGCTTAAACTTAAAGCAGTTCTGCATTTCAGTCATTGAGATGTAAACAAATTTAATGAAACTTACCAATTTTACAGAGGTGGTAACAGGAACTAGGGGTCGCAATGTCTACTAAGCAAATATGGCCATTTTATTTCCTATCCAAAATGACAACTGAACCTAAGTAATGTTAATAATGGTAAAATAGTAGAAAATATAAAAATGAAAGTTTTCTTTGGGTACCATTTTTCCTTAAAACATCCTGCACGTACCTCTCCACCATGAACGGCTTTCAAAAAAATACCAAACCTCTAAAAAACCCTTAAATTCCCAGGTTTATTACATACTAAGGCTTATTATTTAGTAACTACAGGGACATCAGTGCAAACTGGCGGAGCTATGCTTAGGTTATAGAAGTGTGTGATAAAACTTTGGGCCCGCCGGTGGGTCCTGGCCAGCATAGTCGCAGGCATGTGACAGCATATTCGTAACCATTTCACGTAGTAGCTTTCACTGATGCAGCTTCAGACATCTGGTTCCTATCACAATGGTGCATCTCACGTCAAACTACTCTAAATGACTTAGTTACAAGTTAATGGTTTAATTATGCAATTATGCACTAGCTCAATAATGACTGAAAGAATAAATAAATAATGTAGATAGACAGATATATAGATAGATAGATAGATAGATAGTTGAGTTCACCTGATTAATTGACTTGTAGGTACAGCCCTATATGTTGCATTCTAGTTGAAAACCTCAATAATCCACCCCAATACTCACTTAGAAGCGCCACCGTCTATCCTGGTTTTGTGAGGAATACTGCCCCAAACAACTCGTCCTTCTCCACCCCACTCCTTCTCTTGGTCTTCTGAAAATGTGGCTTTCACGGTGAAGGTGAGGCCTTTCTGAAAAGCTTTCTCCAGAAGAGGCACCAGTCTTTTAGTATCTCCGTTAAGTGGGTAAGTAGGCTTCAAACCTGTCCCCTTTAAAAGGTGCCCCAGGGCAGGGATGACCCTCCTGTGAAGACAATAATGAACAAAACTAAATTAGTTTATATATATAAAATATGTTTACTGACTTTTTGCCCTACTACACGTGTGGGAAAACTGCAATAATGCTTGGGTTATAAGATTCTCTATTTTTGTCTTTGCACCATTGACCTTTGTATGTAAGATCTCCATCCCAGCTGCCTCCACGACAGGATTGGAAAAAAAAATTAAGACAGTATTGATATGCTATTATAATAGTATAATACTGCGATACACTGGGTTTAACAATAGTATTGACACATGCAGGCCCAACCATAATTTTTTTATTATTTGTTGTTTAATTAGGCCTGTCAGAATTATTATATAATCACCTGACTGCAATTATTTCCATCTCGCCATTCACAATGATATATTTGCCTAGCAATAAACAGAATGTGAACTGGGAGCGTTTTTATCAGTTGGGTTCAGGCGAACATATATAAATAAAAGACATCAGAAAATGCATTCCCTGAGAGTCTAACAAAAAAAACTGAATGGTGCTATAACGCACTTAGAGGGCAGCAGTCAATAATGTTTGTTTATTTGAGCTGTAGGCACATCTGTGTTGTATCATCAGTATCAATGTCAAGAAAGCAAAATAGCTAATCAGCCAAGTTTGCTTTAGTTACACACAGTGAACAAAGAAAAACAAATTGTTAATCGCAATTATTTCTATGGCAATTAATCATCATCTAAATTATAATTGTGACAGGTGTCCTCTATTTAATATCAATATTTTTACATGTTTAAAGCCTGTTGTTGGACTAACAGCTTATCAAACTGCATTTGTCTTAATCCAGTCTTAACGCTCTTAAGTTGGCAAGACGAAGGCTTCTATCAGTGAAGTTATTAGGTTTGTTTTATTTAGTGTGGAGTTGTGTAGACAGGCCGCCGGCCAAGCTCAGCACAATGCACAATTAGCTTTTTTTTGTTTTTCGAGTCATTGAGTCAGACTTAATGGACATGTGACACTCCAATGGCAAACTGCGCCACTGGTGCGTCACAGTGACATAGGTTATCATAATCTGGCAGGGACAAGGTGGCTGCAGTTTTCAAAGCCAGGCGCTGCAGTTCCCCTTCACCCAGCTGCACAAGCTGAGTTAGAGCTTAGTTCTTACTGGTTAGAACTTAAAAAAGACAAGAATATAGATAGAAACGGTTGAAAGCATTGCGAATAACATGGTTACCCAGCACACGGTGAAGATCTATAACATAACCCTTATAATATACCTGTGAGAGTTATTCTACACTTCTAATTGTTCTGGATAAAAGCATTTGTTAAGTATGTTAGAATAAAGCCTGTTTTGTGGTTGTAGTTTGTCTCCTTCACAAATAAAAGTGGCGGTTAAATATATAAATGTGATGACAAAGGTTTTTGAATGCTGATTTGTCTACTTCACAATTTTATTTTGCTTCAATAAAAATACATATATTTTTGGAGAAATAATATCACAATACTTAGAATATCATAAACCTTTAGATATCACAATGGAATTATATCATAACTCAAGTATCATGATAATATTGCATCGTGGGGCCTGTAGCGATTCCCAACCCTAGCCTCCAGCTTCTGGCATTAACTTTGGGCCCAAAATAATCAGTGTTTGACATGATTACAGTCTTAACATAGAATTAATATCTTGTTTCTACAAAAAAAGATTTAAAGGAGTTTTTTAAAGAACATGTTAGACTGTTGAAGGATCTCTAGAAAATATAATGGTCTTACCCCTTGAATACCATCAGGTATCTCATAGACAATCTTTAGTGTTGTGTCTCTGATGAATCCAGGAATTGTGATGGTTGATTCTCGAACAGACATGGTACCTTTGATACCCCGGGTGTCCTGTTTAGTTTCTGCTGGGCAGAGCTTGCAGCTGGCATGAGTTTCTTTAAGGCACTGAGAGCAGAGGTTCATGCCACATGCAGTTCGATTAACAGTGCTGCTCTGAGCACCACACACGCAGGATAAAGGGAAGCCTTGATTTTCACTCACATAGGATGGCAAAGCAGTGCTCGTGACTTTCAGTGGTTGTGGAACATCCATTTGGTCCACAGAACCACCTAGGTGCACCTGTTTGATAAGGGTTCCTTTCATCTGAGAGTGACCTTCTTGATCAGAGTACTTCCACAAAGTGGTTGTGGTTCTGTGGTCTCCATCAGCTGTGCCATTTGCTTCATCTTCTGAACCTGAGTTGATGACGTTGTCAGCTTTTACACTCCCCTTATTCATAGTCCAATCCTCTCCTAGCTGTACCTTCAAAGTACGGCCCTTCTTGTCTAAGCCTTGCGTCCTTTCCTCTGTCCCTTGCTCTCCTTCCATCTTGTTATAATTGTCTTGCTCTTGGTTGTCTTTGTTGACTGCATCCAGTGTTGTGTCTCTGGTTCTATCTTCCAGTAATCGGGGAACATTATTTGATTTCTCATTGCTACTTTGACCCGATATTTTAGGTAGATAATTCTTGCTGACAGTTTGTGCATTTTCACCTGTTGGTGTTGGATGATTGGCATCGCTGTTAGTTGTCCTTACTTCATGACTGCTTGGCTTATGAGGCTCCCAACTCTCCATCTGTGCCTTTGCATCACTGACCCCTGTATGAAAAACCTCCATCATAGTTGCCTCCACTTCCTGACATGCTGACACAGGTCCCAGGATCATTACAGACCTGGACATGACTACAGTCTTAACCTTCTCATGGAGTTGTTTCATTACTGAACAGAACTCTGCCAAGGTCTTGTCCTTAGGGTCTGACAATCCAAGTATGGATAGGGGTAGTGTTCTTGTATCAAAGTCCATTTCAACTGTGCCAATGAGACTCTTCAAATCACGGTGGCATTTATTCACCTTTTCTGGGTCTGCACCCCTCAGACACAAAATGACATCCTCCTTATCATATGTTTCTTTAATTTGTAGATCAGATGTTAAATTGTCAATTTCAGTAGTATATACTGACTTAAGATAGAGCCACAATCTTATGGACACACGGATATCCACAGTGGTAACTTCTTTTGTCTGTGAACCTTGGCTTCTTTCCTTTTGCCCACCAAACAGGTCTACAGCTGCTGGTTCATCTTTGCTTTTTCTGACTTTGCCAGAGAAGCTATTGGATCTTTTCCGAGTGGATCCTGAAGGCACTGTGGGATTCTTATTGATTCCTATGTCTCCACATAGATCCATGTGACCTAAGGAGAAACTGTGAGAATCAATTGAATAAGCTGGCATCACTATTGGCTTCTTCTCAGTCAAGTTGGAAGGAAATTGTCCAGGTTTCTTCAGGTCAGCTTTAAGTATCTGAGCATCCATCTTGCTCAGAACACTGCCCTTTGCAACTGTATTACCAGACATGGTGTTTGGTTTCAGATTACTATTCATTGATGGCTTGATAAAGGGAAGGGAGTGTGGGTGTTTACTATCAGGAGACTTTTCATTTACAGACACAACCTCTTCCAGTTTGGGTGCTGTTTTTTGGTTTTCAGCATCTTTTGAGTTCCAAGCAGACTCCGTAACGCCAACTGACGCCCCTTTGCTAAAATTAGCAGCCATTTTCAGCTCTCTCCCTGACTCAGCTCGTTTGGTCTTATGCCCTTTACCTGACTTGTGTTGCTTCTCTAAGCCATTTGAGGTAGTGTCTGGATGCCCTTTAAGTTTAGTTTCCTCTGAAATAAAGTGCGGGTTGTCCAATGGTCTCTTGTTCACATCAGAGGAGGAAAATATAGAAGAAGACTTGGGAGGGAGAAACAGAGAATCTACATACTTATCCTTGTCATACCAACCACCACATTCCATTTTTTGGAGGGGTTTCTCCTCTGAAGTGTCATAATTTCTTCTGGCAAGAAATATATCTTCATCCATCACTGCCTTAGTTTGAGTTTGTAAGGTAACGAGGCCAGAGTGTGTGTGATCATCAAAACGCTTCACTTCACCAGATGTAGGCTTAATCTCAGTAGAGGCATGAATCTCTTCATTGCTTGTCTTTTGGTAGTCCTTCCTTGGATTGAATAAGTCATCTGAACCCTGAAACTTGCCCCCAGTTGGCTGAAAGAGGCCTGACTGCTCTGCTGGTTGTTCTAATGATAAGGAACCCCCTTGGTGAGCTAAAAAAGTGGGCTGAAAAGGAGTAAACGGATGGTCTGAGTTGATGTCTTTATCCATCCGAATCCCTTTCACATCGACTATAAACTGCTTGGCCTCAGACACGTCACTTTTACTTCCTACCAAATAAACATTCCCTTTATCTTCGTCTATCATCAGCTTTGGTAGCCTCTCCTTAAGGCTTTCCAAGGCATGCTCAAGGTGTTCCACAGGGATGCCACTCTTAGATATATTCTCTCTGCGTAACTGGGACCCTTTCTCCTGGTACAGATTTGCTAGGTCTTGGTGGGCCTTTCCAACAGAGCTCATGCCACGCTCCGAGAGTGTTTTTTTTGGCTTCAGGTACAAGGTGGTGATGTCTTCGCAGGTCACATCAAGTACTTCCACCCTGTGCCGCCTGAGGATGCTTTGGTACTCCTTGTTGCAGTACTTATGGAGGTAAAGGAAGATGTCTGAGTCAACAGCCAGGGAAAAGTCTTCAAAAGAGGTCCCATCATCTGGCTCTAAGTCCCATTTGTCTTCCATAAAATCTTCATGTGATGCTTGCTGGATGTTGGATGAATAATCATACAGCTCCCCACCTGTCATCATAATAGAAACAATAATATGATTCCATATGTTCTGTCCTCAGCTTCTTTTATGATGTACTGAGATACTTAACAACTCATGGCAAGTGCATGCTGATGCAGTATCTAGTTTGCTTGGTGCTAATTGGTAGTGAATAAGTTTCCATTTAGAACATTTAGTGCAAAACTAAAGAAGCAAACTTCAGATGCCAACCATGACTGATCAACTACATTTTTACAAAGTTATAGAAGTGTTAAACCATTGTAAGTAAAAAGTTATGAGCAATAACGTAGCTACATGCTGAAATCATTACCTGTTTTCCAGACTGTGCTCTCCATTTCTAGATCCAACTTGTCAGTGTGTGGAGCATACTTTGCCCCTCCAGCTGCTATGTTTGCCCCTAGAGGGTTGTTATCTGTCTTCTCTGGGGGTAAGCTGTGCTTTTCTTGGCTCTTTTTCTTTGATGGGATTCCACCTCCAGAATTCTGTTTCTGAGTAAATATTACGTTGCCATAAGTAAAGGCATGCACATGTTTAAATTTCAAGGAGAAATCAACCAGATTTGCCTGAGAAAATCAGCTGCAATGTTCTACCTGTGATTCCAGTGATCCTAGGATTAGGCTGCTAAGTGACTGAACTTTAGTATAGGAACCACTCAGAGTGCAAAGGTCTGTTTGGGGGTCAAAAGTCAGACGGATGTCTGGAAAAGTTTCATGCAGAGACAAGAGGCTTCTTTTTCCTTCAGGGAGCTTATTGTGGTCCACAGTCAGAGACATATACAATAGGACCTATGAAAACAGAAGGAATAAAACAGAGAGAAAGCCGAGAGGAAGAGTGTGCAATTACAAAATAGCTTGTTAATGGATAAGACTGAATATAAAATGTAAATTAGAAAAGCAACAGCGAAAAGAGCATTTCAAAGATGTCTACCTCATCTGGATCCACTTCTTTATGGTGGAGACTGATCTTGACATCATAGCTTTTGTCATTCACCTTAAAAACCTGCTTTCCTTTCTCTGCCAGTCTTAGGGCAACTGAAATAGTTACAACAAGAGACAGTTAAATTAGACATCTAACACTTCTATTGCAATAAAGGGTCTTGATTTTGGTTCTGCATCTATCCTATGCATTAACTTTGGCATGCTACTGCAGATGTATGAATTTGATGACCACCAGAGATGTATGAGTAGATCTAGATAATATAAACATCAATTATTGTGATACAGTATTTTAGCAAAATATCTCATTAATGAAAAATGTCACAATAAATAAGAAGAAAAATGAAACTCCATTAAATGCCTGAAGTTCTCTCCTTCCTATACCTATCTTTAAGTTTCCATTTCTACTTTCCATTTTCTGTGAGGAAGTTTTGCATTTTACCATCTCCCCATCTCCTGTATTTTCTCTGTTTATTAAAGGGGGGACCAGTCTTCTGGGTTAAAACAGAAGCTGCCCAAAACCCAAGCCCATGTTCTCAGAGTTTTCCCCTTCTACGGTCAAACAGTCCCTGTTCACACTACATTTACTTGCAATGTGGAAGTAAATCTACTGACAATATCCATATCCAAGTAAATCCTCACCCTTGTTCTCCTCAAATGTGATGAAGGCTGTTCCAGGTGTGCTTTTAGAAACAGTCACAGAGCTGATCTCTCCACCGCCATTCTTCTTGCGCAGGAAGTGGATGTGGATTTTGTCTACCAGCCGATTTTCAGACATGTGCACTGGGAGACCACTCACTTTGACCGTGCGCCCTTCAGTTGCCATCCTGACTGAGGAGGACCTGCTCAATTGGTCAGAGAAAAATTCACAAACTCTCAAAATGAAAAAATAATGATACCTGACAATATACTGGACAGCTGTATGACAGCCTACAGTTAAAAGATCATCTTAACTGATGTGCTTCAATAAAAATATAAAATTGATGGCAACATCAGCCAATACTCAAGGTTTCGGTGTCAGAAGAGTTGGTACCCTAAAATAAAGCTGTTATTGGTTTTAGAAATTTGCATGATTTCAGACAAGGTTATTCTCACGTTACATGAGACAGAATATAGTATTTACCTTCCATGTATCTTGAATGTGTATACATGCTATACATGACAAATATCTACCTATCCATCAAATATAGGGACACATATATGACCATAAACCACTTTTTATTTGCTTATATGGAACTTAGCAATGCATGTTGGGTCTTATTCTTTAAAAAAACAACTCAAGTACAGATTATAAGAAATGTAAAACATCAGATCTGTGACTGGTTTTATAGACTCTGTTTGCAAGAACCTATACTCTCAAAAAAGATGGTTCTTAAATGGTTCTTCAGTAAAAGGAGGTCTGTATTTCATGCTTAAATGGATCTTTGCATGGTGAAATGGTTCTTCAGATTGATGGAGAATGTGCTGTAAATGGTTCTATATAGAACCTTTTTGAAAATGGTTCTATATAGCACCAAATAGGGTTCTTCTATTGTTACGATGTCAAGCTTGCAACAATAGAAGCCTATTTGTGCTATACAGAACCATTTGCATGTATATATGGTTCCCTGCATGGTAAAATTCAGATTTTAGACGTCATGATAAAATTCAGTTCTTCAGATTGATGGAGAATGGGTTGTTTATGGTTCTATATACATTCTTTAAAAAGACGGCTTTTCAAAGGTTCTTTAGTAAAAAAAAAAGGTTCTATATAGAACCATGAACACTTAAGGAACATACTGCATGATTAAAAGATTCGTTGCACCATGACAACCTTCTTCAGATTGATGGAGAATGTGCTGTAGATGGTTCTACGTAGAACCTTTTTAAAAAGGGTTCTAAATACAACCATCCACTGCACATTCTGAAGAACCCTTTCATGATGCAAAGAAAGCCGTTAATGATGCAAAGGGATATTTGAGTGTTTACGGTTCTTTATAGTACCATTTCCTTTAATAAAGAAACTTTGACGAGTCATCTTAAGAGTGCAGGACCTTTTGAAAATGGTTCTATATAGCACCAAAAGGGTTCTTCTGGATTGATCCAAGCTTGACATCGTAACAATAGAAGAATCCTTTTCGGTGCTATATAGAACCATCTCAAAAAGAACTTGCCTTTACTAAAGAACTCTTGAAGAACCATCTGTAGTGTTTCAGGCTACAGTTCATACGTTAGCCATTAGCCTTGACAACAGCTAAACACACACGTGCACAAATACAAGCTCAGGCTATTTCTGAGGTAAACAGAAGCAGATTAAGTCACTTTTTGACACTTATTGGATTTTAGTAGAGCGAATAAAGCTGGATATTTCACACAGTGAGCGAGAGAGAGAGAGGAAGATCGAGTAGTCGTCGAGAAACAAAACCAACGTCAGGTGAAACAGAAACGAAACAAACTCTTGCTCAAACAACAGTTCGCTAGCTTAACGCCACTTCTACTGAAACTACGACCAAACCGCTCTAAGAGGGGGCTTACCTCTGTATTCTGGCTGAGAAAGTGGACTTTTCCCCCTCAGACAGGCATTTGTAGCTCCGCAGGTCAGTCGGGTTTCAACAAGTGCTCTGTTTTCTAGAAAAGAGAAACCGAAACAAGCCCGGTGGCGCGGCACGATGTGACGTACACCGAGTAATGGGGAGTCGATTCTTCGACTCGTCAGGGCCGAAGGGCTCTTGGCCAGTGACTCTGAGAGTCGAAACGCTTGGAGTCGACTCTTCAATTCTGTCGACTAAATCAAGGATTTAAACGGAATAAACAACGAAAACAAAAACAACAGTGAACAATATTTTTCACAGAACGTTGTGGAAAATAATATGTGGCTGTAGTTGGCGTTTTTGACTGCGTTCAAATTTCTCCGTTCCACCTTAAATGGCGCTGCACCTCTACACTATTGAGGTAAATTCTGCGTTATTTAAGGTGGAACGGAAAATTCGAATACTTTGGGCATTAATGGTTTATTTTCATAGAATTATGACTAATGATTTTCTCAGTACATCACTTAAAGCTTGAGCTCCTTTCAGCAGCCTCATCTTGTGAAATATGTGAAATGATGTGATTTCTGATGGTAAGATGTGTAATCATTAATACAATCAATACAAATTCCCATCATATCACTATAATCTATAATCAAAAACTGGGTAAACCATGTTTAGTATGGTTTAAAGGTGCAATGTGTAAGATTTAGGGGGATCTATTAGCAGAAATGGAGTGTAGTATACAAAACCATGCTTTTATTAGTGTATAATTACCTGTAACTATGAATTGTTGCGTTTTCGTTCGCTTAGAATGAGCCCTTCATATCTACATAGGCAGCAGGTCATCTTCCAACAGAGGCTGCCATGTTGCGGCGCCATGTTTCTACAGTTACCAAGAAAGGACAACTCAAACAAGTAGAAAGAAGTAGAAAGAAGAAGAATCAGTGGTAGCTGCCGGTGCTGGCTGACCATTCTGTGCTGTGAAAAGTTTGAGAACCCAAATTTTGACAAATGAAAGATCATACGTATTATTTAGCACAAGAAAAAGCAAGGAAGTGTGATGGCGTTTTAGGGCCACTGTTAATAAAAATTAAAATGGTAGACTTCAAGAATAAAGTCGTAATATTTTGAGCAAAAAGTTACAATATTTCGAGAATTAAGTCATAATATTTCGAGAAAAAAGTCAATATTTTGAGAATAAAGTCGTAATACTTAGAGAAAAAATCATAATATTTTGAGAAAAAAGTAGTAATATTTCGAGGATAAAGGGGGCTAACTGCAGGGGGGCTGCAATAACGCGTTGTGGTCCCGGTTGCTGTACTGGCGCCGGAGTTCCACTCACTCCTGTCTCCTTGTGAATCGATAATTTTGATTATCATTCTCATTGTCTGTGAAACTTCATGTCCTCTTTGAATGCCAAAGAGATGTTGCCCTGATAGCCTCGTAGACGACCCTGCTTCCGATTCTCCTTTAACAAAACAGACAGACAGTTTCCTCCGAGTCCGTCTGGCTCTTTATTCTAAATAAACACGGTTTCCTGCTCCGCCCTTTCAGCTGTTTCTTATACTAATAACAGGCTGGTGCTGATGTGCAGGAGAGACAGGGAGACTGAGTGTTTCTTTATGGGTGACAGGAGTCGAGTCAGAGTTGTGTCCGGAACACCCAGAGTCGTGTGTCACTAGACGTAGCAGCCTAAAGGAAATACGGAAAGCAAGATCTGAGAAGCGAGAAGAGAAAATGTCTTTATATCAAGTGAAAATGTTAAATAATGAAAAATATCTTATGGAAAGTGATCTGTTCTTTAGTAATGTGGCCTATAGGGCTGACATTACCTTCATTTCCCTGCTAGAAAAACAAGCATAGACCAGCATGGCTGGTCACCAGCAAAACAAAACATGCAGTGTAAAGATATTTTTATAAAATAAAATGTCATATTTAAACTTTGAAATACAGTAAAGTGAACTTTAAAAATAATTAACTACATTGAGCAGAAAATACTACTTAGTCTTCATAAGGTTATGAAGTCATTAATAAATTATAAGCAATAGTCGGTGGCATTTCTCAAGATGGTGGTGGGTTTCAAGGTGGGGGGCTGGGGTTTGGTTATGAACTGTAGCTATACTTTTTTCCCTTTTACTGCATGCAGGAATGGCTTTATACAATTTATGCTTGGTGAATGATGCAAAGGTAAAAACATATTACTGTGGTTTTATTACTATATTTATACACCTTCAACGTGTGAGATATTTACACTGTTTATTTATGGATGTTTTTTTTAATAGCTATACGGAGTTTAATGTCACAGGAACCTTAAATTGCTTGTCTTTATACCATCATTCAGTTACAATGAATCGGGTGTGTACAACCTGTAGCCCTATACTTTTCACATTATACTGTACTGAGGTTTGGAAATGGTGAAGCAAACACACTGACATACCTGTGACAATCACACACAGCCATAAATCTCCTCCTTTCTACACTCATTGTCCATTTTATCAGCTCCACTGACCATATAGGTGGACTTTGTAGTTCTACAGTTACAGACTGCAGTCCATCTGTTTCTCTGCATACTTTGTTAGCCCCCTTTTACCCTGTTCTTCAGTGGTCAGGACCCCCACAGAGCAGGTGTTTGTGTAGTGGCTTATTATCAGCACTGCATTGACACTGATGTGGTGGTGGTGTGTTAGTGTGTGTTGCGCTGGTATGAGTAGATCAGACACAGCAGTGCTGCTGGAGTTTTTAACACCTCAGTGTCACTGATGGACTAAGAACCAAAAATATCCAGCCAACATCATCCTGTGACCCCTGATAAAGGACTAGAGGATGACCAACACAAACTGCAGCTACAGATGAGCTGTTGTCTCTGACTTTATCTACAAGGTGAACTGACAAGGTAGGAGTGCCTAATAGAGTGGACAGTGAGTGGACACAGTGTTTAAAAACTCCAGCAGCACTGCTGTGTCTGATCCACTCATACCAGCACAACACACACTAACACACCACCACCACATCAGTGTTACAGCAGTGCTGAGTATGTGGAACATTCTTTCCATAGGCTTTCCGCTCCACTTTACTCCCATCAAAACTGTAATTGCCAGCTCAGCAGAAATATCAAAGAAACAGAAATTCAGTAACAGATTCGTTGTGGTTATTTTATGTAGTTTGTGTCAAAGCCTCACATACAGAACTGATTGGGCCATTAAAGCTCTCAGTCACCTGCTCTTCAGCACATATTTTGCACTTTGTATATGTACACAGTACTGTGCAAAAGTCAAAGGCCATTTATTTAATTTCCAGTCAAAACAGTTATGATGTAAAATGTATTCACTTTTCAGTGTCAGGAAAAAAGCAATAAACATGTTTAACTGAAAAAGTTTCACACAACTAAACATAAATATGTTATAAATATGTTATATAAACATAAATATCAACTTTAACAGTGTTAAAAGTGTCCAACCTTCAGCTTTATTACACCTTACATTCATTTCGGGCAGGTTTTGCAGGTGGTTGTTAGGAATCCCATTTTTTTCTGTATCTTGTTTTCCTTTGACTTTCCTTTGAACTTTCTTTATGCAAGTGAATTATCTTAAATCTCCTCAGAAATACCACCTGAAAATGAATAACGTGCAGTAAACGGACCATGAGGGGAAGAAAAATCCACTGACGTCAGCACAAAAGCACACAGGAATGCTGATAACTGTATGTTTGTGTGTTTTTTTCATTTTCAATTTGCCAACTGGCAGTGCTTTTACCTGCCACAAGGAGGAGCTACAGTATCAGGTACTTCATTCATGGAATTCATTGGCCTGAAAATTAGGTTATATTGACTGCTGTAGGTTAAGTACAGAGGTTGCTGATAATGGAACAAATCTCAATTTGTATATTTAATATTTATAATATGTATTTTATATTTATAAATAGAGTCTATTTTATTCATATAGAATAAAATTATTTAGACAGCAGACAAAGTCCCAAAGCAGCTGTGGGTCCAGCCCCCTAATTAGCGTCTGAGGAGGAGACAGTATCAGCAGAAACTGAGAGGAACCAAGACATATATGATGGTAGATATAAAACATGGTGGACACATACAGTGCTGTAAAAAAGTATTTGCCCCTTCCCAGTGTCTTCTCTTTTTGCATATTTGTTACACTCAAATGTTTCAGATCATCAATCTACTTTTAATATAGGATACAAATAACTCAAGTAAACACAAAATGCTGTTTTAAATGATAATTTGTTAACGGGAAGATTGTTAAAGAAACAAAGTTATTGAAATCTACCTGTCTGGAAAGGGTTACAAAGCCATTGCTGAGGCCTCAGGAGGGACTCAGGCAAATCACAGTGAGAGTCATTATCCACAAATGAAAACAACTTAGAACAGAGGTGAACCTTCCAAGGAGTGACTGACTTACCAAAATACTACCAAGAGTGCATTGATGGCTCACCCAGGAGGTCATAAAAAAAGCCAGACAAACATCTAAAGAATTGCTTGGGAGAGTTGCAAGGTGCAAACCACTCCTGACCAAAAAGAACACAAAGGCTCATCTCGCATTTGCCAAAAATCATCTAGATGATCCCCAAGACTTTTGGGATGATATTCTGTGGACTGATGAGTCAAAGGCGGACCTTTTTGGAAGGCATGAGTTTCTTACATCTGGCGTAAAGCTAACACCACGTTCCACTATAAGAACTACATACCAACGGTGAAACATGGTGGTGGTAGTATGATGGTCTGGGGCTGCTTTGCTTCTGCAGGACGTGGACAGCTTGCCATAATTGATGGAACCATAAATTCTGCTCTCTATCAGAAACTCCTGAAGGAGAGTGTCTCTCTGTTAGTTTGTGACCTAAAGCTCAAGCACAGTTGGGTTACACAGCAGGACAATAATCTGAAGCATACATGCAAGTGGGTCATGGGTCATTATATGGAAATGTCCATTTTGGTGTTTCTAGCATTTACAGATACATTACACTTCATGTTAGGATTACAATTCTTTTAATATTTTAAAATAAAACAATATGTTATTTTAACAATTGCACCTTCTTGAGCCACCAATTTAGCAATATTGGTTTTTAAATGAATTATCTAGAATTCCAGAACAGCTCGTCCTCACAGTCATGTGTAAAGGGTGAGGTCATATTTTGAG